TCTCCTCCGCCTCCACCTCTGGGTGCCCCCCAGCCCAAGGATCCTAAGCTAGACTCTAGAGTGTCTACCTGGTGGAGGGATCTGTTGACTCAAGACACCAGGGTGTGGGGGACCAGCGTCCCCACAACTGAATGGGTCGTGTAATTGAGGGGCAAATTAAAGAGACATCAGACAAGATAAAGCATGCAAGGGCTCACCTCCTCAGTCATGACTTCAGGAGCCAGGTCCCAGCTGAGAGAGAGAGTGTCATGTAATCTCACAAGTTTATATAATCTCAGGCAAGCAGGCCACGGTAAGCACATATGTAACAGGGGGCTACAGCAAAGTGCCGTGAAAAAGCCGAGGGTGCCCAGCTATCAATTGGAATATTGTCTGCAGTCTTAAAGGCTTGTATTCAAATAAGTAGCCATCTAAATGAGGAGCCAACTAAGTCCACATGGAAGAGGCACACGACCTTGTGTGATCCAAGGAGGACCATGACAAAACTCAAATATGATGAGGAGAAAAGCAACCCCGATGTGTGGGGGTCTCTGGGGGACGGTGGGAGCCCCAGACCCGTCTGCAGAGCATCTGGTCAGACTGAGCCATTGGCAGGTCAGCTCTAGCCGCAGCTGTAGCCTGATCAGCTCCTCCTGTCAGAAAGAGACCATTGGCATCTTGATGATGCTGGATCGAACGCGACACTTGGCCAGCTGACCACCTTTGTAGACGCAACCAGAACTGGTTCTGGGTGCAAGTATGTATCTCTTACTGGTCCATGCCAGACATTTCTTCTCTGGATTTTTGAATACTTTTGGGCGTCTTTTCCTCCTTATACATTATTAGTATTTTTGTCAGTACACTATCATGTTTCTACCCTTACCACCTTACTGTGATTTTGTTGTCTGTTGGGGCTCCCAGCTGTGAGGCACAGGAGGAGTGGATGCCTAATGAGAATAACAGATGTGTGTTAGTCCGGGTAGACTAGAGAAACAAATTCATAGATATTCAGATGTGTATAAGAAAGAACCTTATGTACAAGAGCAATTTAATATTGAGAAAACATCCCAGCCCAGTCCAGATCAAGTCCATAAGTCTGATATTATCCCATATGTCTGATACCAGTCTATCAAGTCCTCTTCAGACTCACAAGACATGTGCAATGATGCTGAATGCAGGAAGATCACAGGCCAGTGGGTGGAAAGTCTTGTGGATCCAGTGGTGGGGTAACTATCTCAACACTGGCAGGGTCTCCACGTGGCTCTGCCAGCTCCAGGGCTCTAGCGTAGCCCCCTGTGTCTTGTCAACAGCAATGTCTCAAAGGGAGTAAGCTTGTCTGGCTTCCAGTGGGCTATTTATCTCTGTTGTGCCTCCAAATGAGATCATCAAGCTGTGACCTGATGGACAGGCTAGATTCCACCCCTGCCTCAAGTTGACAGATTGTGTGACTGCCACAGGATACAAGGGGATATAGGGAATTGGGGTATGGGAGAGAGATAGGGAGGGGAAGGGGGTTTCAGGAGGAACTAAAGAAGATGGGAGTGGGGAGGGAGCCCTAGGACAGATTGAGTTTGCATGAATCATCTTAAAGGCGATTTGACCATGGGGGAGGGGGAAGGCTCTAAAACTGATGTGGGGGTGATTATGCAATTCCGGGTGATATGATTGAATGGTATAATATGTAAATCACTTGCCAATAAAACTGTTGGGTGGGGGGGAAGCAAAAAACAAACAGATCTAGGCCGGCACCGGGAATCTGCTTTCAGCATGGTGTGTAGTTCTGACACACAGCCACGCTTGGGGGGCTGTACCTCGCTTTCTCAGGCCTCCCAGCAGACCCTCATTCCCTGCCCAGCCCCAGCTGGAAGACAGCCGGACGTGCCTCTGAGCTGTGCAAGGGAAAGGAAGAAGCTGACCAGTGCCTTGCCCTCCAGGGGCCGGGGCCCAGGAGCTTGGGCTCCAGCAAGGGGCCCCATGGGGCCATGGGTGGATGCAATAGCCCGTGCCCTTGTGTAAGGAAGTGAGAGGGGGTGTCATCTGAGCATGGTCACCTGAGGCCTGCGGGCCACTACCCACAGGATAGTCACTTGAGGTGTGTGGGACACTGTTCACAATATCGTCAGATGCCTTCAGCACCCACGCTGTCCTCTAAACTGGGGTGTCCTTCAGAGTCGTTCCCCACAGCGTCCAACTGTGGGCATCGGCCGCCCCTTGGGCGGGTGGGGAGAATCTGGGGAGCCAGCATCATTTCCCAGTATGGGGTACGACTGAGGTGGTGGACGGAGGGAGTCCAGGTAGAGCGCCTGATAGCCACCACAAATAGGCACTGTCCACCCCACGCCTGGCCTCAGGACCTGCCCCGGTATTCTGCCCCCACCCCACCGACCCAGCAGCTGGGCTTCAAGGCAGCCCAGTCCTCTCACGGGTCCTCCCACTTCTCCCTCTATCCAAGAGGTTGACCCAGCACTGGAATCTTTGCACAGCATCTTCAGAACCAGTGACTGCCGTTCCTGGGACAGAGAACTCCCCTTACCCTGACCTGCTAGCCAAGGGTCTAGGGAGCCCAGAGCCTTCCACTCTGCTCAGTCCTAGGTCTTGGCATGGCTGAGGCCTAGAGCCACCCCCGTCAGGCCCGGTGACGCAGGCCAGCAGCAGGGAGGCCTCCTGGGCTGGGGGTGAGCCAGGGCCTGTGGAGGCCCCTCTGTCCAGGCCAGATGGCTCTGACTCCTGTGGGAGGGCTGCCAGGGTCCCGGCCAGGCTCCTCCCTCGGCCTCGGTCCAGCAGAGCGCGCAGAGGCTGTGCGCTGAGGGGCCTGCACTCCTTCTCCAGCTAGTGAGGCCGTGAGATGCCCATCCCCCTCCGGCCCCCTTGCCCCCAGGACTGACCAGAGCCCCGAGTCTCATGTCTACACTGATCAAGGCCCTGCCTGAGCCCAGTGAGGTGGCCTGGGCAGTGGGCCTTCCCTCATGGTCCCCCTTTCCCCTGAAGTGCAGGCTGGATCATGCGTGCATGCACATGGGCACGCACACACGCACACACGCACACACGCACCAGCAAACATTAATCGAGTTCCTACAGCAGAAGGGCCTTGCTCTCTGCCTGCGACTGCACGCCAAACCAGACAGACACGGTCCCTACCCTCCTGAAGCTGTCACTCGACTCAATGGGACAAGAAAGAGCCCCGAGAGGGTGCATGGAGGGTGCGGCTGAGGCAGGAGCACCAAAGAAAAGGGTTCCCCAAAGAAGGGAGTCCTGAGCTGAGTCTGGGAGCCAGGCTGAATGCCCGGGGCTGGGGGAGGTGGGGGCAGGGGGGCAGGACACAGGAGCAGCAGAAGGAAAGTGTCAGGGACCAGCGAGTGGGAGGACTTGAGATGGGGCGAGGGGGTGTCCGTGCTGGATTCTGGTCTTGGGGTCCGACCTTGAAGCCTCCTCGGAGCTGGATATCAACAGTCCCAAAGGTCTTCCTCTGTTATCGTAATGAGTGGCCACAGTAGGCCCATGTGTCCAGCGCAGAACTGTCCCCGCAGCATTCTCCAGGCTTCACCAGGCGCCTCTTCTGCGGTGCCTCAGGGGGTTCGAACTGCCCACTTTCAGGCTAGTTGTCTGGTGCTTAGCTCGCCTGTGCCCCCCAGGGACTCCAGGCTTCCTTACAGCAGCCTATGCATACCAAGTGCTCTGTCCCTTCTGTCCCTCTGGGCTCACTCACCACCATGGAGTCGACGCTGATGCCCAGCAGCCCTCTGGCACAGGGTAGAGCGACTCCCGAGGGTTTCCGAGACTACAGCGCTGGACAGGGGTACAAAGTCCTGTGATGATCCCATTTTCCAGATGAGGTCCTGAGAAGGTCCTGGCTCAGTGGCACTGACAACAGGCTAATGGTGGAGTCCAGCTTGGATCTAGAGACCTGGCCAGTGTACCCCGCAGATTCTGGGGGTACAAGGCCGTCAACTCCCACACCGACTCCTCAAGGAAGCATTTGTCTACTGTGCTTAAGCAACATGACCTACATCCGATGGCTAAAAACGAAATCACAGCCCCCACCCCAAAACTCATCTTGTCCATGCCCTGTCTCTTGGGGTACCCTAAGTCCCATCTTACCGACGAGCCTACAGAGGCCCACGGGGTGAAGAGGCGTGCCCATCGTTCAGGATCAGTAAGGAAGACATGAGCGCTGGGACTGGGAGCGGGGAGAAGATTCTGGGATTGTTTCTCACCTGTTCTCTGCCCCTGCCCCTCCTCTAGCGGGACAGCTGTTGCCCATAGGGCCCACCCAGTGGGTGCACACTCAGTATCTGTCGAGGGGACCCGCTGGGCTGGGGGCTGGGGTCTTAGAAGCCTTAAGCACAGAGGGTTAGCAGATACCGGACAGAGGCTAAGGGCTGTTCTGGTGAGCCGGGCGGGTGGGTGGGGTGCAGGCTGGGATGGGTGCAGGCAGACATTCTGTCTGGGGTGGGGAGGGCATGCCGGCCAAAGAAAGGGAATGCCATGTGCAAAGAGAAGGGAGATCCTGGGTGAGAGGTGGACCCAGAGTCTGGACAGGGGTGGCAGGGGGAAGATGGAGGCTGTGACCCTGGCTAGGTGGGGAGGGGGACTAGGCTGACAGGTCAGGGGGGAAGCGGCTTCCCAGTGGGCCCTGGAGCAAACCCCGATGTTTCTGAGTGGGCCCATGCGGTCATGAGCCCTCTCTGAAGCTCAGTTTTCCCCTCTGCCCTATTTGGGGGTGGTTGTTGATAGTTCCCATCGTGCCTTCTCCAACTGAGAGAGTTTTCCAGGCTGTGACCATGCAGTCCTGGGTGGTTTGAACTGCCCACCTTTCGGGCAGTAGTCAAGCACTTAACCATTCACACCACCCCGGGATTCCACTCTGGAGGTGGGGTGAGCTCGGAGCCCTGGGGAGGTGGGGGGGATGTGACTGCTGCTTCCTTATGCCCTACCAAAGGAGGCGGCTGGGCGGGCTGGATATGGAATCTCTTTAATGCCCTGGTCCATCGCCTGTCGCTGCCACATGTAGTGGTGAGGGCTCATAGGGGAGCCTGGGCCGACATGCTTTTCTTGACCTTGAGCCCCTTCCTCTTGTGGAGCCCCGTCCAGGGCAGGCTGGCCTCATGGGCCTGGGCCTGGGCCTGGGCGTGGAAGGGGCCCAGCTCTGAGGGGGGTGGCATCAGGGGCACCAGGGGGATCAGCATGGCCACCGGCATCACGGGCACCAGCTCCTCCGAGACCCCAGGGGAGACCACGGGCAGCTCCTCAGGGTCCAGGTTGGCATCGCTCCAGCCCTCGGAGCTGTCGCTGGGGCCGTCTGCCCTGGGAGTCTCCTCTTCAGAGAGAGTGAGCCGCTCAGGGGATTCCTCCCCAAATTTGCTGTCTAAGTCCCAGGCCGCTGGCTCGGTGGCCTCTGTGAACTCACTGGCTATCAGGACATTGGTTGCATTCTCCCGATTCTGCTTGGGGTCAGCCGCAGGGGCCTGGTGGAGTCCAGCCCTGGGCCAAGCAGGCATCTTGGCCCTGGCCGGCATCTTGGCCCTGGCCTGGCCCGTCCAGAAGAGCCTGAGCTCTTGGCGGCAGGCAGCCACGGCCAGGCTGGTGAGCAGGGTGCTGGAGACGAGGTAGAGCAGGGCGGGTTGGCCCATCTGCATGAAGATCATGGCCATGAACGTGACCAGCAGGCCCAGGGCATAGGCCAAGGTACAGGCCATGAAGTAGATCTGGTGCGAGCAGACTTGGACGTCAAAGCGGTGACAGTATGCCACTAGGAAGCCAGGGACCATGATGTCCCCAAAACCGAGGATGGAGAAGGGCTGTCTGCACAGCCTCTTGGCCGAGAAGCTGATCCTGGGCACCCTGAACACCATGGGCAGCCTCTCATGGCTGGAGGACTCTGCTGGGCCCATGGCCACCTCCACCATCACGCTCTCACCACTGCGGGTGAGGACGGGGGTGACGAAGACAAAGAAGACGTCAAAGGCCAGCAGGGCCAGCAGGAAGGAGGCGCAGTTCTTGAACGTGGGCATTCGCACCCGCCGGAGGACAAAAAGGCAATAGGCCACCCCCAGCATGTCCTGCAGGAGCCATGCCCAGCTGTCCTCATTGCGGTAGGCCACCCAGAGGACAGTCACCACGGTGCACAGGGCGGCCAGCAGCAACATGGGCAGCGACAGACAGCCCCGGCAGCCGGCCAGGGACCACTGACGGTGCTGCTGGGGCAAGCGGCGCACCAGCGGGGCCAGGCAGCTGTAGAGGCCGGTGCCCGAGCCCAGACCGAAGATCCCGATGACGATGTAGACGGAGCGGTCGTAGAAGCAGTAGAGCAGCAGCATGATGAAGCAGGACAGGACGACCACTGCACCCATAATGGCCGGCGTGAAGTCCACGGGGGTGTCCTCATCTTCCTCCCCCTTTCCTTTAGCGGCCACCACTGCTCGCCGGTGACGACCGCCTGGCCACCCTCCTCCTCCTCCTCGGGCCCGTCGCCGCCGCCGTCGCAGCCGGTCAGCCTCAGTCAGGCCGGCCCAGTAGCCACCCACAGCCACAGTGCCCACAGCCAGGATGAAGATGACTACCATGTTGTAGTCCAGGGTGGGCTCAGGGGGCGCGTACAAGGCCACTCGGATGGAGCCGCCATGGGTGTGGCTGAGGATGTCCAGCATGTCGGTGTACTGGAGCTGGGCGACGGGGATGGTGAGCTGTGGCAGGGGCTTGGGAGGGTCCCTGGAGGCCGGCGAGGCATCTGAGCACTGCTGGCTGCTGGCTTGGCTGACGATGAGCAGCCCGTGGGCCCCTCGGCCCTGAGCCAGCCGGCCCTTGGCGTAGAAGCTGCAGTTGCCCCTCCTGACCATGGCGATGGCGTGGCGGAGCGGCTGCTGGCTGGGGAAGCTGGGCTGCACCTGGTGGAAGGCGCCCTTGTCCGGGCACCAAGGTGTCCTGGTGCTGTCGTGCAGGGGCAGGAGTGGGGCGTGGTGCAGGTCCCGTGGCAGGGTGACGTACTCGGAGCTGAACAGGACACAGTACTCCTTGCTCCAGCTCTCCGACACTACATGGACCACAGCATACTCCCCCCGGGCCACAGCGCTGAGGAGGAAGAGGAGGAAGAGGCCCACGGGGAGAAGGAACCCCAAACATGCCATCCTCCACAGCCACCTACTATTGCGTCCCTGCCCGCTGTGGCCGCTCGGCCCGTCCCTCCTGCCAGTGGGTGGGTGTGGCTCCTTGTCACAGAGCAGCTTGGCCTCCTGTCTTGGAAACCAGGACCACACCTACCCCATCATAAAGCTATGTCTCTCCTTAGCCCAGGACCCTGCCCCTGATCGTAGGGTCCTGTCCCCATCCTGGCCTCTGAGGAGAGAAGACATCTGAGTCCCGTCTCTTTTTCTGGGTCCAGGTAGTTTGAAACAAGCGACCCTGAACAGAGATCTGGTCCCACTTTTATTGCTTATCACTGGGGGTCCTGGGCAAATTCTTTTCCTACCTGAGCCCCTTCCTTCAGCTGCAAAGAAATGAGAACACATCCCATTAGAAGGGTTTCTGATTGGAAGGCTCCCTGGAGCCCTGATCTCACGATACTGAGCACGTTTGTTAAGCGTTTACTTTCTCTGCCCTCTTGCCATCTCTGCAAGGAGTCCTCCACCCATGGAGCCAGAGCTGCCAGCTGTGCTCCAAAATCAGCCTCCCTTTCTACCAGCACGGGCCACCAGTCATTCCCCAGCCTCTCTTGCAGCTAGCCGTGGCCATGTGACCAAGTTCTGGCCAATGGACATTAAGCAGAAATGATGTGAGCCCCTCCAAGACCGCAGGTGAAAGACTGTGCTCCTTGCCCACTCCCCGTTTCATGAGTCAACACATGGACTGGCCTGTGACCAGCATTGGCCACGCACGCAGAGGAGGGCAATGTCCTAGGGACAGGAGACAAATGGAAAGGAATTTGGGTGTCCGGGTGTCTTCGGAGACGCTCACTGTGAACTGTTCAGAAGAGATGCTGGGATTTCCAGCAAGATGGTAAGGAAATGGGCAGACGTACCACACAGATGCTCTCTAGCCAAGACAGGAGAGAGCAAATGAAACAGGTATGGAGGATAACCCCGGAACCTTGAGCTCAGAGGAAAGGGTAAGAGGGTTGAATGGCAGTGTAGAGAGCTGAACAAAAGCAGTCAGAGAGGAGACCCTTGGGTGATTCCCTGCAGGCTTGGTGTGACACTACCACCTTGAACGTCTGAAAGCAGCATTTGAGATCGTGGCCCGACTTTCACAAAAACACACCCGTGTTTGGGGATAAGAAAAGTGAGCTCTGGCTATGAAAAGATACAGCGTCTAGGGTCTTAAAGGCTTAAAGGTAAACAAGCAGCCATCTAGCTCAGAAGCAACAAAGCCCACATGGAAGAAGCACACCAGCCTGTGCGATCATGAGGTGTCGAAGGGATCAGGTA